TAGTACAGATTGTTTCATTGCATTTTTCCAACAACTTACATCCATGCCGAAGTCCTTGTTCGTACTTTGATTCGATTCAATCGCAAGGGTTCTTCTATCCTTGGGCTTAGGTGTGAATCCTGAGTAGAATCGCTTCCGTCCGCAGAGGTTCAGGATGCCAGAGCCACGCCTATTCGTTGACGAGAGTCCAGTTATGTCGACTTGGTACCTTGCGGCGTCATTAATTACCCCCTACTCTTTCCCTGTCAATGTGGATATGTTCCAGCTGCTAGCTCCCACTATTGGTGTCATGTCCCGTGGGTCCGTATCTTACGGTGGCGTGACAGCATTCAGATGTCTCCTTCCTGCTTCAAGAACTGGTTGCTGCTGCTCCATTACTGACTGGTCTCAGCTTCTGCTTTTTATGGATATCCGGCAGCCATCGCATTGCCGCTAAGCCGTCAGCTTCCAGAAGGGACGAAGCTAGTTGTAATCACCGACATTTTGCAGCCTGCGCGGCCGTTGGTTGCTTGTCCGATGTTTGATGACCATAAATGACAGGTTGCTGGATTTTACCGGAGACGCCGCCACGGTCTCCAATCACCCTCCTTTCTTATCCTGGCGTGTTTTCGGTAACGGCAGAGTTGCAACATGTCTTAATCACGAATTTCTTGAAAAAGGAATTTAGAACATGTCTGTTGTTACCATAGTTGCAAAGTTTGTGAAGTATCCTAGTCAAAGCGGAGAATTCCAGGGTTCGTCCACCTGTCAACATCATTCGCCTATATTTGTTTCTATGTACCGGAGTACCATTCTGTGGGAAAGACACGGGAGATTGCGCTCTATGCTTTGCCACATTCATGCTGCTTACTTTGCCTTCACAGTATGGCAGTTCTGACTGATGGCAGGGAAATGGAGAATATCAGTTGTACCAATTAGTTGTATCAGTTGTATCAGTTGTATCAATTAGTAGCTTCATGGAAAAATGGGCAACAGAGTGGCTCCGTCCTTCAGTTGTAAAGAATTTGACATTTGTAGACGGTCGTAAATGCTTCCCTTGGTTTGCTAGACGATAAACTGTTTGTGCGGTTATCCAGTGACAGGCTTCTGCACGTTTTAATTAGTTTCTCCTATGATGATGGTAGTTGCAGATATTCGCCAAGGTTTTGAAAGGATTTACTCCAAGTACAAGTTTTATATGAACTAAAAGACCTAACAAGTTTTGTATTGTGGACCATGACTTTTCTGAAAGATATCTTTCACTCGGACGAATGTCAGTAATCGTCAAACATCCTTTAAGTTTTATTCTTTTTATAAAGTATAAAGTATAAAGCTTACATTGTCTGGCGATGAAGCAACCTATATGAATGAATTCTCCTGTTCTTTGGTCGTAAATTAATGTTTACGTGCTATGATCAACTTGATGAGAAAGTTTGGAATAATGTGATGGATGGTTGACTTTAGAGCCTAAAATTTAAAGTTGTTAGTCTTTTTAAGATATAACTTTAATTTCCCACTCATTTTAAACTGATTTATTTTGTATACGCAAACCAGCTTACTTCCTGCAAATCAGTTGTGTCTTAGCGATGCTTCTATATGTAAAGCAAAACGCTTTGGCAATATAGTGTAAGCATCTATGTACCGTCAACTATGAATCGACAGACGGTCTGGAAAGTATTTAACGTAATCCTTACGTTTGGGATTGATTGTCGTCGATCTTCTGGAAACATTTTATTACAGCAATTTACAAGAAACAGTATTAACGATGAAAATTTTTCATACGTACTACCCGTGAAGATGAATCGACATCGTCTGAAACATCCGGATTATGTTAGATTAAATTTGAATGCGGAATAAATTTTTAAGGCCTTAGTATTAAAAAACTGCAATCTACACGAAGCATTACAGTAATGTTTCTCGAAGTAGTACAAGTTCTTCGAAAGAGCCTTCAAAAAGGCGTGGGCACTGCTTTGGAATTAAAGTTAACAAATATGTTTATTAAAATGGATTTTCTCTTTAAATTATTTAGACAGTTTAGTGCAGTGCGTTGAGTGTTATCGCTAGTAAATTGAGAGCAAGATCCTTAACGATGTCGCATTTCAGTGTGGCGGGCAGCATGTGGTCCAGCTAGGGTCAGATGTGATGCAGATGTCGTTCTGTTTTTTAGACGAAGAG